ATGAGGATAGTATAGGGATACTTTCTACTGATTATTTAGAAAGATATGATTTAAACATGGTTTCTAAGTCTGGTGACGTCTGCCCCGTGACTTATAAAAGTTCGGTGTGGTTTAGTAAGGGTCAAGGATTGCGCTCAAGTAAAAGCACAGCTCCGAGATAATTTAAATCCACGTAATGGAGAATCAAATCAACTAACTAGTTATGCTCACATTTTTAGGCACAATCCCAAAATATTTCATAGATATATAAAGATAAATATACTAGGAAAGCAACCAAGAGGGCAGGTAAGAGGGTGATTTACATAATATGTTTTAGTACTCACTTTAGAGCATGTCACAAGCGTATTACCGCGAAAACGAAGATGGAGGACGGCCTCGGCGTGATGTTCAATAACATTCAGGCATTTGCCAGAAGAGAGCTCCCAGAGGCGAACTGTAGTATCGCTAGACCCACTGATCAGCAGATCACCCTCGTATTGCAAACAGAGAACAGAGCCAGAATGTCCTTCTAATACCTAAAATAAAGTCAAGGTTCCATTTAAAATGAGTAAGAGGGATAAAAAACAAATGCTATAATTATAGTAAGTACCAGATAGATTGATCATATGGGGGTTCTATAATAAATATGATAAGGCCTCTTGTTGGCATATGAAACAAAGAGAACTGCTAATTCCGTTTAAGAGTATGGATTAAACATATTTAGAATGATCGTCAGATATAGAACCTAGTTTTATTGTCAATTAGGAGCTGCTATTATATACCTTATAAATATAAATACAATGGATTCCAATTAATTTGGTAAATCAAGACTGGAACACTTTGGCACCAAATACACGAGGCTTCATTAGGAGTGAAAAAAATATAAAGACAAACTGTCAAATGAGCAGCAAATAAGCTAAGGAAATTCTGGTCATTTTATAGATTTAACTTAGTCAAATAAGATTGGCCCCAAGCTATCCCGATTGTCCGATGGTCTAAGTAAACAGAATCCACTATATAAATTTAAATATAACTATATATATATATATATATTGAAAAAACAAGAGAGCAATTAGATTGATTGCTCAAGAGGGAAAAGTCATCGCAGTCTCCGTTATGAGTAAAGAGCGGATTTCAACGTTTAATTTAAAAATACAAAATTATAAACGACATAAGGGCACGAAAACTCTAGTATTAAATAAGAATTAATAAAGCATTTTATGAGACATTTATCTGAATAATAAAGCATATTTTCAGGGAGTAGTAAAGTATTTGCTATAAAAACTATAACTTCTTCCTTTTCAAAATTAAGAGGGCAGCATCCGAACAAAAATGGATTAATAAGCAGACAAAACATCGTAAAGCAAGTAGTGAATATAGCGGCTAGTGCTAACAGAATCTATAGGCTATACTATTGGCTATTATAAATCTGACTCTGGATAAAGAAACTGCCTTAACTCAAAAACAATGTTCTAAGAAAAAAAAAACTTGAATTCAAGTATAGAATTTTTCTGGGCAAATGACAGAAATCAAAATACTCCGAGATAACACGCTTGCAGTTTCATTTTTTAATTCACATAGTAAAAAAACCTGTCACATCCATAACCTTATAAACCTCCAGGTTTATAAGAAAATACGACGAACAAGCAACTGAATATTTATATATGACCAACTATCAAGATGCCTCAGGGGACAATAGCTAAGGATGTGAATGCAATTTAGTGAGTGATTCTAAAATTTACGAATTATGTGGCTTACCTGAGTGCATTCATATGTATC